TAAGAGACGTAAAATGACACAAAAATCAAGACAAATAATTTAATGCTAGATTATCTCTTGTTTTTTGTGCCCAACTAACCTTATAAGTAAGGGCATGAGAGTTTGAGTTTGGATTCATCTTATTCAATTTTTTCTGAAGTTTTTTCGATCGTCACTATGGTCGATGGCTTAAGCAAGAAGGAATGAATGTACACCTTCTGGCTTTGGAAGGCTTTCGACTTTTGGCATCTTCTACAATGGAAAAGAAGAGGAGAAATGTTAAGAAAAAGAAGCAAACGACACCTAAACCTGAGCCGGTCGAGAGTGTTGCTTCTTCCGACAACCCTGATGCTCAACCACAGAGGAGGACGCCGGCGGTGGACCCTTTCTTGGCCATAGTGACTGCTGAGAAAGTTGAACGGGTCGCTCCTCCCGTCAGGGCCGGTCAAGAGGGAGCGAGAAAAAAGTCGACCGCTGACCCTCCCCCTTCTTTCGTTGCCAACTAAGGACGAAGATGCCCTATACCCTCACCCAAGAGACGTGAGTTTTTATTACTCTTTCTGAAATAGATAGATTTTTGTGTATGTAATGATAATCTTCTAATAATGACGTTATTCTCAATGTAGATGAGTCAGTTGTTCCGGAGACTCGGACTGACGGCTCGCCATCCTGGAATGTTGTTGATTCTTCCCTTGTGGTCTGTGTTGTGCCTTTAGGATCAATTGCGGCGCTTCCTCCTACGGCCCACCAAGTTTTCTAGGCATCACTCAACCATTTTAGCGGTTCCCAACGGGAACAATTTGGGAGTTGATAGTTATCCTTTGAGTTAATGGAGCGCCAGATGAAGAAGATGGTTGTTCCTTCAACCCAAGCGGTCCAAAATCATGTCAAAGTATCCGTGCTGGAGTGGTTGGTTCGCTGCGAGCACCTAGAGGCGGGGATTGCTGCACTTTAGTGAAAGTCAGCCGACATTACTAGGCTGGAGGAGGACGTTGCGTCGCTCTGTGGATTCATGCAAGATGTGCGCGCTGAGTTAGGGCCCATTCGTGAGTTGATTGATCTGAGTAGATTTCATCAAGATGTCGATCGTATGGGGCATAATAGGTTGGTGGATAGATAATCTTCCAAGGATGCTTCATAAGGGGAATGCTACGACTGAAACCCTTTTTGAAGTGCCGAAAGATCATTTTATAAAATTTTTCCTTCGTGACCTATAGCGATGTTATTTGCAATAAAATAATGTTTAAATAAATGTGAAAAGATGCTTGGTGTGACGTTTATCATTATGTGACGCCTCGATTTACGTGTCCATCCTATAAATTTGGCAAGAGATTGTCTTCTACTCTTTATGCTTTTTTATTTCTTTCTTTGCGCCTTCCGATTCTTGCTTCCTCGTCTTTCGATCGTTTCCTTGGTCTGATATGATGGCTCCCAAGTATTCTTTCTTTCTCTTAGGTTCCTCCATCGTTGCTGATGCTTCGATTTTGACAGCGGGAGACGCAAAGTAGATGCATGAGCAGTACGTTTTTTATGATAGTATCGTGTTTCGAAAGAAGGGGGACTTTGCTCGGGAGTTCATGGAGTTGAGTCGCCCGGAAATGATTCAACACACGGCCCGATTTAACCTGATAGCATCGCAATTTGCCCACATTCAAGGTCTGGAGCTTAGCAATTCTACGGCCGAGGCGAATAAGAGGATCGCTTCACCAGAAGCCGATCTGCGAATAGTCAAGGAAGGTGAGAAACTCCTCCAGCTGAAGCTCGAGAAAACTGCCGCGGAGAACAATAAGTCGGTTGGGATGCTCAACTCCCTTAAAGAGAAGGTTGTTTCATCCGTTTTGATGGAAAAAACACATGACGGAATTGACGAAGTATTGGTGTGGCATTGATTACGCAATTGAGAGATTTATTCACCACAGCTTGATTATGCTAAGTTATCCCAGCTAGACAAGATTGCCAGTCTTCTTCCCTATAAAACCGAGGATTCCGCTGAAGTAGTTGTTGAAGAAAGTGGCAGCGACGAAGATCGCTCGACAACCCGTTGAACTCTCCTATTACTTAGCATAAATTTGTATTTTTTTGTTTTTTGTGAGAAAAAACGATACAAACGATTGTAAATGTTTTGGCATATATAAAGTTTTTTTGCTCGACATTTTTATGTTTACTTTATAATGCTTGTGATAGATTTGACATATATTGAAGATTTTTAAAACATCCTAATCTATAATGATGGGTCTAAATGTTACTGGTAGTAGGTGAATGAGTATGATAGTTGATATTGATCTTCAATAAGGAATAGCCCATTCTTTTCTCTAGCTTAACAAATCATCTTCTTCGTAGTGAGATTCTAAAAAATCATAATTATCAATAAAAAACATGATTTTGCAATTGTGGTCTTTGGTAAATTTTGTGAATAGATAAAAGTTTTATTGCAATGTGCATGACATGTAATAAATTGGTAAAAATAAAATGGCTTACTATCTTGCAACAATTCTTAATGATCCATCATCATTTTTATTTTTCAATTGATAGAACAAGATTTGTAAGTTTAAAATATGTTGGCAAGGTTTGTCATGTGGTCGGTGCTCCCTTAATTTATGATCCATGAAGGTGAAGAAGTATTAGAGGCATTAAGAGTACAAGATTTAGAAATCATACCATTCCGAGCATGAGAACAAAATTTTGATGATTTTTTTAAGAAATTGAAAATTTTCTTAATTTGTCGATTTCTTCTTTATCGAGTCCTTCTGACTCTACTAGACAGGCTTGTCCTTTTTAGTTTTCGTGTTTACTTCCTCTATGTTCTTGGAGTTTTCTATGAAGTTTCTAACATTTCTCTTTAGTGTGGCTCTTCTTTTTGTAGTAGTTGCACTAGAGTTTTTTTCAAAGAAGATTCTATGTCAAAGTTTCTTATTTTGGGATTTAAAAGTTGTCGTGACAAATATCTTGAGTACTGGACTATTAGTAGTCACTATTCTTCTTCCTTCTTCTGCTCAATTAGGAGAGAATACTTCATTCAGGGAATGGGGATTTTCTTGCTAAAGACTTGGATTCGAATTTGGTCAAATTCATTGTTAAGTTTTTGCGAAAAACTCAAAGATCTTCTCGTACTTGATTAATTTTGTAAGGATTGTTGAATCCTCATAGAATGACATCTTGAGATATTGGTAGCAGTCCAACTCTAATCAGTAAACATTCATGGTATTAATGTATTATATGATAGGAATGTTACCTTGTTTTTGGCTAGTTTTGTTTTGATTTTATAGATGAGCATGGTATCTTTTACCTTTGAGTAGGCTTATTTATGGGCATCCCAAATATTTTTTTGATGTGGAGAGAAACATAAAAGGTACACTGATCTCTGGCAGCATGGTGTTCCACATCCATGTTATGATCATATATCAGTTTCTTCCCAAGTAAAAAATTTTGGGTTTTTGGGCTCTGAAGGTATCTTTTCCTTTCCCTTAAAAAAGTATCTTCATAATTTAGGACCATTTAAGATAAGTTTTCTCATTCGAGCGATAAGATGATTAAAATACCAAGAGTGTCTCTTTGGTCAGGTTTTTCACTTTTAATTATAATTGATTCCTTTGAAGTGAAGTCAAAGAAATCAGACATACCGACTAGAAGGAAAATTCGACAAGAGGGATAATGTTGAAATGGGAAACCCTAACCCTATAGAATAAGAATAAAAGTTAGAAGGAACACCCGTACATTGATTTGTTACGATGTAGAAAACAAGTAATTAGAAAAATCTCTCAAGAATCTCATTCACATCGTTGTACAAGAGGGGAGGTATATATACAACTCCCAGAGACTTTACAAAATAGAAATAAATCATAAAATAGGGGAAAATAATTAGGGGCTGACAATCATGTAGAAAAACTCACAGATTACAATCCGAGGGCCGTAGAGAGACAGATCTAACGGTACAAATCATTGATCTGTGTGCCTTAAGTTCTTTGTTATTTGAGAATCATAAATAAAAATATTCAACAATAAAACCTTGATCCTTGTGCCTTTAATTCTTTGCTATGATGGGAGCAAAAATTCAACACTAACCGCTCACTGATTTTTCGTTTATTTATTTGAGTTTTGTTGTAAGTTTGTAACCATTTTTGTAATATTTTAAAGGTTATCGAGGTTCTATTTAGTTGTTATTTGATTTTAGTAACATCCAGATTTTAATTATTTTGTTAGATTGGCATATGAATTTTTTTTATATCAAGGTATTAGAGATCCCGATAACTGAAATTTTCCTAATGCTTTATTTAGTTTGAAGGAATTACAATAAAATAAATGAAAATTATAAATGGAATTGCGTTGAAACTAAGAAAAATACTAAAAAAAATTCTTTCATGTTAAAAAACGTTTGAAGTAAAAAAAAAATTTGCATCCTCTCAAATTCTTAAAACTAAATATACCCTAAAAGAAAGCACTCCCCAAAAAATAAAATAAAAATCTTTAAGATTGTTGGATATTTGGATGCATAATTTGTAACATGCGCATGTCATATATGGAGAAATCCTTAAGGTTATATTTTGAACATCATAGCATTACCCTTTTCAAAAGCATCCCCAAGCTATGATGAAAGGTACTTGCAGGTATATTTGCAGTGATTGTAGTTGCCTATAAAATTATTTGTAATTAGAAAGTAAAAAATTTAAAATTATCTTGGGCATTATAGACTATTTTTTTCAGAAATAAAATATCTAATAGTAACTTTCTTACAACTACCACATTTTAGTAGATTTTACCACGAAAAAATTTCTTCCCATTACAATACTCTCTGGTAAATAATAAGATAAAAGTATTTACCTGACAGAGTTGTGACAACATTTTGTAAAATAAAGCTGTGAAAAAACTATCCCAATTCCCCCCCCATCATTCTAAAAAATAAGGGTGCATTGGGTGTTATGTTTTTAAATGTGAAAGTTGAAGTGTTAGATATGTAATTATTTGAGAATTGTGTGGTATGTATGTAACGCCCCCATTTTTCTTTTGGTATTGAACTGTAACAGACGGAGAGCGTTTCTCACAAAGATACCTTACAAAGCCTTGTACAGAAATCCCAAAACCTGGAGAAGCAATGTCTTCGCAAAGCAATTCAATCCTATTGTGAGCTCCGTGTGCTGCCGTACGAAGGGAAGAAGACCGTTGTGTTCTAAAACAGGTCAGTTGTTATTCCTATGTGCTCTGCATTAAAACTTTATTTATTTATTAATATTTCTAATGCAATATATATATATATATATATATATGCTAATTTCCATTCTGCAGTCAGTTTACTAATAAAATAACAGGACGGGGCCAAATAAATTATTATAGCTGACCATTCTTTTATGAGATGTAGTGTGTGCCTATGTCTGTGCAGTTTTGAATATTTTAGACATGTACTATAAACTCAAATTATGAACTATCATAATTGGAAGATATACATACATACCACTCAATTCCTCTGTATTTATATATCTAACACCTAAACATCAATTTTTACATATATGCCACCTTACCCATGCATGAAAATGTGTATTTCACTTCTTAAAAGATTAAATGGTGGTATTTTTTTATTTGACATGAAAAGTTTGGGTGATATAAATATAAAAAAGCAAAGTTTAGGTGTTGGTTATGTAAATTCATCGGAATTGGGTGGTATGTATGTAAATGCTCCTATAAAATAATTGATAAAAAAGGGATTACTTTAAAAATTGAACTAAACTTATCTAATAATTTGTTCATATGCATAAGCGAAGTGCTTGTCAAGCTTAATTATTTGATCAACAGGAAATAAATCACATACTACGTGGCACGTTTTTTTGGTCACAAGTTATATATATTATATTTTCATTGTTTTATGATACGTTTTAAACTGGAGCTCTATTTGTAAGGATAGAGGTGAGTTTCTGTTAATAAATTGGATTTAGGAGGTTTTTCTCTATGTATAATTCCATCATTTTTCCTTTCATTCCTTTAGACCTTTCCAAATCTATAGATTCTCTAAGGGTACTTTTTCTTTTAAATGTCTTTATATATATATAGATATATTAAAGGAATGGTCGGAGGCTATTATACGAGCCCCCAACCACCCTCATTTGTCTAATTATTTGAGGACCGCCCTCACTGCCAGTGAACTGGCCGGAAGGGGATTCAAACCCGTGACCTGAGAGGACTTACGACTTTCAAAGAGGTTGCTCTACCAACAGGCCATGGCTGGTGACACAAATGTCTTTATATATATATATATATATATATTATTTATAAATTAAAATATAATAGTCTATGTTTAGACCAAAACTTTGCAAATTTTTTAAACAAACCTTGCTCATTAAAAAAAGTACATAAATTTTAAAATGTTATTTAAAAAAAAAAACATGTATATAGATTCATGTTATTTTTATACAACGCCATAACAAATAAAATAAAATAAAATAAATTAGCATTCAATTGGTTTCTTATTTTAGGCTTTTGTTTGCCTGCACTCATCTTTTACATTGAGGGTCTTATGGTTACTCTAGTCCTTAATACCTGTGCTCTGTGTTACATTTTTGTTATGCTCTTGTACCAGAAGATATTTGAGTATTTTTAATTTATTCATGTGCTGATTATATTATTACATATTTACTTTGAAGTGCTATGAAATACCTCTTAATATTTTTTTTGCTGATGCATGTGTGCTCTTATGTCACTAGGAACTTTGAAATCTTAAGGGATATAAGTATACTACTAACCTAATATATGAGAAGAAAATGAGCATATACAAATACATGTCTCCCATTACGCCTATATTATCATCTCTTCTACTAAGGTTTATGATGTTGTTTAGATGTTATAACTTCACTTTTCTCGGGTTTAACGATTTCAGGCATGCATAGAACTGTATCATAGGTGATGCTATTGCGTGTAGTCTTCTACTAATTTGTCAAATTTCAACATTATTAGTTTTGATTGAGTAGGTTATGCCACAAACTACTATTGTTGAGAATGTGTTTGTTGTCTTAGGCATATAGAACTATCCCCCACAACATGAGGTAAATTAAATCAAGCCCGATGGCATCTAGGATGGTCTTAAAGCAAAATATGTGATGACATAAATGGGGATTGTGCATGATGGTCCCTCTGATTCAATCCTATGTATATCAAATGAAGTGCAATGTTGATGGGTGGAGGGTCCAAGAGCAGCATACATCGAAATCCTAAGATTTTTGTTGCTAAATGGTCTGTAATCTACATCGAAATCCTAAGATGCTCATTTTGATAATAAAAAGATCGCTTAATCCTTCAATTAATATAGTAAAATTTACAATTATTGCTCTACTACTTGATTTAAGCTCATTTTGAGTTGGATCGGGATAATTGCTTTTCTCATCATGTTTCTACGTTTTATTCATGTTAAACGTCAGTCATCTGATAATTCGGTTAAGAGAGTAGATGTTTTAGATTCGACATGTGTTGAGAAAGGCAAAGCTAGACCAAAAAGGATTTGTGCATATTGTATGAAAAATGATCTTAATCTATTAGAATTAAATGAAAAAATAACACTCAATATGACAAAATGGAGAAAATTGATTCATGGGGCCGACCCCACTCAGTGTGATAAAGGCTTGTTATTGTTTTTTTTGTTGTTGGAGTTGAGATGACCATGAAATTACTTGAGTAGCTATGTGAGAACTTGCTTAAAAAAGCATAAGAAGTTCCAAAATAAAAAAGAAAATGATTTGAAATTTCTTTTATAATCAACTAATTATTCTTTTCCTCTAAATAGTCGAACTATTTTTTGGAAAAAAATGTGAATAAATGTAATAATGTTCCAAAATATTATTTGTGCTGATATCTTAACAAATCATAAGAGAAGAATTATATGAGATGAAGGAGTTTCAATCTAATAATGTAATGTAATATTTTCGTCACTGAAATATTAATGCGGTGCAAATTTAATGCAGCAATACTCTTTTCTTGAAATTATTTTGAAGTTTCTTGGTTTGATGTAAAACAAATGAATGTCTTTATTTATTTTTTGTTTTAAATAAAAAATAATATATGTCTTATTAATGTAGGTGATGGCAGAAGTGCTTGGTGTGGTGCTCGCCGCTTGGCGGTGGCGGCAGCCAGTAAGTCGTGGTTTTGAAAGTCCGTCAAATCGGATAAATTATAAATTCAGGAAAGAATGACATGATACTCTTACATTTAAAAACATGATCTCCTCATTATTACAAGCTACCCTACACATACATAAAAAAATAATAAAATATAAATTAAACAAATTTCATTATTCATTTAATTTATTTTTAGTTCAAATAATTTTATTAGATTCTCATTTGTTGTGACAACCTTGAATAAGCTCGACTCACTTTATTACTTGAAAATGAAAATGACTCTTTTACTAGTGGTCCGTGTGACTTCCCAATCTAATGAGGGAGACTGAGCCCGAGCCTGAGCCGCAAGTTGCTCGTGATAGAGCTATGAAGTATCCTATGTTATTTGGATTAGAATTTTGTGGCCTAAATTATCTTAATTATTAAATATATGACACATATGCACATGGATGAAGTCAATAATACTTTTACCGATTTTTGAATTTTAAAATTTTGTTTTAAGTTGAATACGGTGTGAGAGTTGATTGAGTATTCGTATTTTATATTAATTTCAAAATTTAGGGTCCGTTTGGGGCAGTTTATAAGTGCGGGCGGCGTTTTCAAAACGCTGCCGTACCGTTTGGTTCGCGCGTTTCATTCTTATCCAAAATTGCGTTTGAGCCAAAATTGCTTTTGGGTTGTTACACTAAACGCAAGCTGCAGGTCGACCATTGAGGCCGGCCTGCGGGCCGCGTTTCAGGATAAGCAGCTTATCTTGAAACGCACAAGCTGCCCCAAACGGACTCTTATTCAGGAGGTTTAAAACTTATCATGCCCATTTTTATCTTGAAAAATGTGTGGCATGGAATCGGGAATTAATATATATTAATTTATTATTTATTAGGAGGCTAACATTAAATATTTATTTGTTTCCATGTCAAAGAACTAAAGCATATTAATATGTATATGAAATATGTAAGTCTTTATTAAAATCTAAGAAACCGATCCATATATCCCTTAAATGGATAAATCATGGATTGCTTATATCTATAATATTTTATACAATGGGTTTTTACATGGGAAGGGTACCAAACCTATTGCTATTACTTCTTGTGGTCCCAAACAAGTTATATACTAGGGAAGGACTCTGTCCTCCCATTCCCAAAAACAAATTCATGGCGGTTAGGGCAGAGGAAGCTCGCACTCGGCGGGGTAGGTAAAGAAGGCGGAATCGAATGGAGGGATACCGTGGCCGGCGTTTCGCTCAGATTTGCGGCCTCTGCGAGGGAGACATCAAGCCAAACGATTCTAAAATGCGACCTCCCGCCGCACCGCACAGAGAAAGCCGCTCCAAATGAATCCTTAAGTCTCCAATAACTTCCCTTTCTGAAACCGTTCTAAAGGCGTCGATCACATGTTAGTTGCCACCCATTTTCTGATTTTTTTTTTTTTTGCATTTTTTTTTCCAGCGAAGGACGGAACGAATGGGAGACTGAGGCGTTATAGAGTCTCTCGTCCATAAATAATCTGTTTTGAGACCTTTGTATCTAAATACCCGTATGTAAAAAATATAACAATAAAATGGTTTTATTTATAAATTCTATTATTTTATTTTATCAGCAACTTAAAGCTTGTGAATTTCTTTAAAATAAGTGCAATATATTATAAATTGATGGATTTTGATTTGCCTGTGAATCCACATAATCAATGAAAGAGCTTTGAGGTAAGAGAATATGAAAAAAATGGGGGGACAAATGAATCTTTTTAATATATGGAGTTCCCATCTTTGCATTATAATGATCACTGTTATTTAGGGTCGTCAAGAAAGCTCATTGATTGCGAATTGTTTATGTTCGGCTTCTTAAGTAGCTTGTGTTCGATTCATTCGTTAATCAAGCTAGCATATTATAAATAATTTTTTGAGCTCGAATTATAACCGAGCAGAACACAAACAAATATTTGTTATTTGTGTTTGGCTCATTTTAACTTTGAAATAATTAAATAATAAATATTAATTTTAATTTATTTTACTTTTATATTAAATTTTTATACCATATCATAAAAAATTTTGGTATAAGAGATTTGTGTGGTGTGAATGTATAATGTATAATTTTGGTGTTAGAAATGTAAATATGTTGTAATCAGGTGGTATTTATGAAAATGCCTGTATATATAATGGTGTGCATATTTAGGTTCTAGATATATAAATATATAGGAATTAGCTGGAAAATGCCCATCCACCCCACACACAAAAAAAAAAAAAAAAAAAAAAAAAAAGAAGGAAAGCTAGATCTACCAGATCTCACAGAAACTAAAAGTTTATTTAAGGCCATGGAGTTGTGTCACACCATAATTTTTATGTTTGATCAAATTGTGTTTTATTTGTGCTCTCAAAAAATTGCAGTTGAAAATATTTTTTTTCCACCGGGCCTGACTATCTAAGATGATCGCTAGAAAACTATGATCTGACTTTAAAAAAAAAAAAAAACAATAGCGATCAGCTCACCACTATTTTTTAAACATCAACTTCATAATTGCTTCTTTAAACAACTGTAGTTGCCCCAAATAGACAATAATAAGATTTTTTTTCTAGTTCTCTTATGTTTATTTAGTCTCATATCAATGAGAAATTTCTTACAGACTTAACAACAAGTCTTTAAATGCATGAAGAGGAATCACTTGTTTGTCCTCTAGCCTTTTTGTTAGTTTTGGTAAAGCTCAAATTCATGTTGATGTTGTGGTAACTTTGAAATTTAAAACGATCGACGACGAAGTGAAAAATAAGAATGACACAAGAAAAAATCACACCAGAAAAGAACACACAGATTTACGTGGTTCGGCAAATTGCCTACATCCACGGAGTTGCAGAGGATTTTACTAATTGAGGAATTTACACCGTTTGATCACAACGATAATTACAGGAGAAAGTCTCTCACTTTCTCACTCTCTCTTCTTCTCTCTACACCGAGATACACCGAAGAGCACACCTTGCGATTCTACTGTAGATATATCGCACGCAAGCTTCAACCCGATCACCAAGAAGCAACAATAAAGGGAGCTTTTCTTTCTTGCGTCTCATAGAAGACCGAAAAAAAAAATAAATCGCAAGAAAACTGCTGCTACCTGATTTGTATCCTTCGGCCCGTAAATTTTCTTCCCTGTGCTTTGCGATACTTCCTTCACCAGCAAACCAACGCAGAACAGAAGAAGACAGAGGGAGAGCCGAACTTTGCTTTTCTTCACACTTGAAGTTCTATCATGGAAGCCAAGAATATTTAATTCCAGTATATAGTACGTGAAGAAGAAAACCACGTAAGAATAACCACACCTGCAAGTTGCACTTTTTATCAAATGTAATTTTCTCCTTCTTTAATGGTGGCGGGACCCACTTTCCATAAGAAAAAGCAAATAGGCGGGAGTAGTTACAAGTTACAGAAGTGGCAACAAGCATATATATATATTTTATATTCTAATCGGGCTCCACACTCAACAAATCTCCCACTTGGAGACCGATACACAGACTGCAATGTCTTCTTCCTCAAACTAACATCCTCCACTGGCGGTGTTATCATTTTCTTCAAACGCAAATCCTCCACCTCTGCAACTCAAGGCCCCTGTCTTCAAGCTAGAAGACCAACTGAAGCTACGCACAACTTCAGTTTCTCCAGAGTAACACCCTTTGTCAACATATCAGCAGG